TCTCCCATCCCCCAACACTTTATTTCTTGACCTGGAGGCCAAGACGGTCATGTTTCAATATCTACTAAATGTAGATACATCCCACATATCATCCATCCCTTGAACTGGACTTTCTATGGTCATTAGAATTAGCACAGTGACCACACACACAAGTTCACATTTTGTTCTCCAATGATAGTAAATAATTTTTGAAACAACCTGCTCTCGTGTATTTCATTCTTCATATTAGAATTTCTTAACTTATTAAAATAGGTTTTCCAGAAATTTGTGATCAGAGACATACATTTACTTTTTCCAAATAAAATTTGCAACTACTTGTTGAGCATTCTGTGACAGGTACAGAAAATGCTAGAGATACGCAGTCTGTGTTCAGAGCCTATCAGACAACATCATTCCACAGAATGAAAATCTCGGGGAGAGAAGGGTTCAATACTAAAAATGTGGAATAAATTCCCCCTTACTACAGGAAATACAGGATGACACTGATGCTAAAGCTGGGTCCCAGCTCTTGAAGACAAGAGTCCTAGGAAGAATGAGCATCACACAATGCCAGATGCCTTATGCTGGTGCTTTCTATTATAATGGTAATGCTAATAATGTAAGCACAGGCCATTTTCAACAAAATCTTTCATATAACTACCAAATAGACTGGAAACTAGTCCACACATGTTGCTAATTTGGCATGTCTTCTATTAGTACCTCCATAATTTTTTCAATGTCTTTTCCAAATATGACTGGTAAAAAAGTACCATATTAGAAATAACATAAATTATAAATATTGCTTATTTCATGCTGTGCCATTTTAATTCAGATTTCATGTGATTTATAATTTATACATATAATATAATTAAATAAAATGCATGTATTGAGATTCTTAACCAAATTGTTTAGACTAAACTATAGTCTGAATGATTATATCCCTCCAAAATTCATATGATAAAATCTAATCCCCAGTGTGTTGACATTAAGAGGCAAAAGCTAAATAGGTCACTATGAATGGGACTAGTGCCTTTATAAAAGAGGCCTGACAAAGCCTGTTTATCCTTTGGTCCTGTACCAGGAGAGGATACACAAAGAGCATCTATGCAGAATGAGCCTTCAAGAGCTCTAAGTCTACTTAGACTTATGACCTTAGACTCCCCAGCCTACAGAATTCTGAGAAACAAACTTATATTGTTAATAAATTATCCAGTGTAACGTCTATGCCATAGCCATTGAAGCAAACAAAGACAGGGTAGGCAATCAGCAAAGTTCAGAGATCATTGTTCTGAGAGTTATAGAGACATGTCTCTTTTCAAGAATCTTGTGCTGTAATCAGAAGACAAACATCACAACAGTAAAATCAAGACAATTTAAATAACAAGTCGAGACAACAATAGATGCAAGGCACAAAGCAATTAACATGATTAATTGCCAAATTAGTGGTTTAAGAATATAAGAACAATTAGATTTAAGAGAGCAGGGACACTGTTTTCAGTGGAGTAATCAAGGAATGTTCTCTGAGAAAATGGCCTCTCAGAATGAGCTAAATCCGGTCAAGAAGGGAATGCAGAACACCTCCCTGTAACTGTCCTAAAGCAGGACAAACACAGGAGTTCATCACTACATGGCTGAAGTTGTCCAGCAGGGCTTCTCCTGGCACACAGCTGACAAACACTGCAGAGATACTTTCCTGTAACAAGCGGCAGGAAGGCAGCACACACTCAATCAAAGAACACCTTAAACAAGCCACACAAAAGTCACAGAGCAACTACTGGTAGCTCTCACTCGTAGAAATGTTATTAGAAAGGCCAAGGTCAGCTTACACGTCATTTGTCTACATCTAAAGTACAATATAACCATGTAAAATTGTTATGATAAGCCATTTCAATAGAAATATTCTTATAGTCATTTTAGACCATTTTCATCACTTTACCTAAAACAAGTCCTAAGTAGATGCCCACCCTAACGTTCAACTCTATTCAACTCTGGGGCTTTTGATTTTGTATAATATACATATTCTTTGAATTCTTGTCCTTATAAGCAAATATTTACCTATGGAGAATATTTACTTTGGCATGCTCTGGGAGCTCAGTTTTGAAGGAGCTAAACTTACAAAGCTTTGATCTGCTTCCCTTATTAATTTTCAAGCCATATGCTTTATTTATGCTGATTATTTCCACAGTGAATCACACTTACCAGGTGCTCAATATATGCTATCTTGCTTTTCTTTCTTTTTCTTTTTCTCTTTCTTTGCATCATCTATCTACCTATCATCTATCTACTATCATCTATCTACCTATTATTTATCTATCAATCATCTATTTACCTATCATCATCTACCTACCTACCTATCCATCTATTTATTGAAACAGGATCTTATTTGGTAGTCCACACTGGTCCAAACCTCTCCTTCCTCAGTCTTCTTAGTGTACCATCTATTGTCATGATATTCTTATAAAAAGGAAATCTGAAACAAGTACAGACAGCCCAATACAGTGTTTATAAAGCACTGAATTGAAAACATTCTCTTTACTCAAAATTCATGCATCCTTGTAAACACAGCATTTGGGAAGTTGAGGCTAGGGATCAAGAGTTCAAGGTCAGGGGCTGGAGAGTTGGAGAGATGGTTCCGAAGGTAAGAGCACTGGCTGCTTTTGCAGAGGTCTGGGCTTTGATTTCAAGCACCCATATGATGGCTCACAACTGTCTGTAACTCCAGGTCCAAGGGACTTGATACCTCTTCTGGCCTCCTTAGCCACCTGGCACACACATGGTGCAAAGACATCCATGCAGGCAAAACACCCAGACATATAAAATAAGATAAATGTATTGTTTAAAATGCTCAAAGGTCATGTCTAGGCACATGGCAAGCTTGAGGCCAGACTAGGCTGCAATAAGATACTATCTCCATACCAATAAACAAGACAACAACAAAAGCCATGTTTCTTAGTATAATCCAAATGCACAAAGTAATGATGCTCTCCTGTATTTTCACTCAACCAACTACTGAAATTTTGAGAAGTTTTTATGCTTATAATTAGCTACCGTATTTGCTTAAAATGATTTGTATTATCCAGTCTTGCCTCTATTCTAGTAACTGCAGTATCTAGCTATGTCTTTATTCTAAGATAAAACTGAAAAGGCCAACTTCTGGACTGTCAGAATGGCAAACTCTTTTTAACACAGTACTGTTCAAAGTGGAATCCACAGAGCAGCTCTGGTATATAAACTGTTACTAATCCACAAAAACTCATGTAAGAATATTAAAACTTCAAGGCAATGTGTAAAAACAATGTTAAGCCTGATGGATCCAATAAAGAAAAGATAAAGATAAGCCTGATGGTTCCTATTTTTTTCACTTTATTTTTCTAATAATTCATCTTTATGATATACTACAAAAGTATCAGTAAGAAACTGGATAATTTTTTTTAATCTCTGTTCTTGCATTAAAGACCCTCTGAGAAACAGTTCACTGATGATGCTTTAAATGCTGAAGGCTGCAGGTTATCAAGATGAACTGCTCTCGTTTGATGTCCCCCACTCTCTCCATTCCTCTGGCTTTCTCACAAGAGTCACAGACACTACTCCTTTATTTCCCACTGCTCTTTGAGTTCTACTAGGCTGGCAGCAACATCAACACAGTCCACTGCTTAAGACTTAGCACCAGATTCTCTGAATACTCAGACTGGGAATTCAGCTTCCCTTTCACCACGCACACCTTTGCTCCTGGTGAGATTAGTGACCCTATTTGAAGAGTCACGCTGCCTTACAGTATGAATGCTGGCATCATTTATGGAAATATAAGTTACTAAAATTCTAGTCGGGTAGTGGCGGCACACACCTTTAATCCTAGCACTTGAGATACAGGGCAAATCTCTGAGTTCAAG